GCTGTGGGGCCCCAGGGTGGCTGGCGGCCGCGGGAGACGGGCGGTTTTCCTCCTCGGTTGTCCCGGAGGTCCCACCTCCCAGACCTGCTGCCTCCTGCTGCTGCGCTGAGCCGCTTTGCAGCGCGACGCCGCGTTTTCCCTCCGGGCAGGGGAGCTCTCCCGCAAGGCCGTAGGCCGGCCGTGCGGTTTGCCCTGCTCTGATGGACAGATGTCTCCCTCCGTGCAGGCGTCGTCTCTTTTGGACTTCTTGGGAAAATCCATTCTGCCCTCTCCAATGTGCCGGTGACGACAGGGCAATTCGTGGAGCTGGATTTACAGGTACTGGCCACGCTCAGGGAGCCCTCGGGGACGTGCAGCTTCCTGCGCCCCGACGGGTCATCCCAAGCACCGTGGCTGCAGGTGCTGAGCCGTGGCTCCGGGGTTGTCCCGAGCTCTGAGCCGTGGCTCCGGGGTTGTCCTGAGCTCTGAGCCATGGCTCCGGGGTTGTCCTGAGCTCTGAGCCATGGCTCCGGGGTTGTCCTGAGCTCTGAGCCATGGCTCCGGGGTTGTCCTGAGCTCTGAGCCATGGCTCCGGGGTTGTCCTGAGCTCTGAGCCATGGCTCCGGGGTTGTCCTGAGCTCTGAGCCATGGCTCCGGGGTTGTCCTGAGCTCTGAGCCATGGCTCCGGGGTTGTCCTGAGCTCTGAGCCATGGCTCCGGGGTTGTCCTGAGCTCTGAGCCATGGCTCCGGGGTTGTCCTGAGCTCTGAGCCATGGCTCCGGGGTTGTCCTGAGCTCTGAGCCATGGCTCCGGGGTTGTCCTGAGCTCTGAGCCATGGCTCCGGGGTTGTCCTGAGCTCTGAGCCATGGCTCCGGGGTTGTCCTGAGCTCTGAGCCATGGCTCCGGGGTTGTCCTGAGCTCTGAGCCATGGCTCCGGGGTTGTCCTGAGCTCTGAGCCATGGCTCCGGGGTTGTCCTGAGCTCTGAGCCATGGCTCCGGGGTTGTCCTGAGCTCTGAGCCATGGCTCCGGGGTTGTCCTGAGCTCTGAGCCATGGCTCCGGGGTTGTCCTGAGCTCTGAGCCATGGCTCCGGGGTTGTCCTGAGCTCTGAGCCATGGCTCCGGGGTTGTCCTGAGCTCTGAGCCATGGCTCCGGGGTTGTCCTGAGCTCTGAGCCATGGCTCCGGGGTTGTCCTGAGCTCTGAGCCATGGCTCCGGGGTTGTCCTGAGCTCTGAGCCATGGCTCCGGGGTTGTCCTGAGCTCTGAGCCATGGCTCCGGGGTTGTCCTGAGCTCTGAGCCATGGCTCCGGGGTTGTCCTGAGCTCTGAGCCATGGCTCCGGGGTTGTCCTGAGCTCTGAGCCATGGCTCCGGGGTTGTCCTGAGCTCTGAGCCATGGCTCCGGGGTTGTCCTGAGCTCTGAGCCATGGCTCCGGGGTTGTCCTGAGCTCTGAGCCATGGCTCCGGGGTTGTCCTGAGCTCTGAGCCATGGCTCCGGGGTTGTCCTGAGCTCTGAGCCATGGCTCCGGGGTTGTCCTGAGCTCTGAGCCATGGCTCCGGGGTTGTCCTGAGCTCTGAGCCATGGCTCCGGGGTTGTCCTGAGCTCTGAGCCATGGCTCCGGGGTTGTCCTGAGCTCTGAGCCATGGCTCCGGGGTTGTCCTGAGCTCTGAGCCATGGCTCCGGGGTTGTCCTGAGCTCTGAGCCATGGCTCCGGGGTTGTCCTGAGCTCTGAGCCATGGCTCCGGGGTTGTCCTGAGCTCTGAGCCATGGCTCCGGGGTTGTCCTGAGCTCTGAGCCATGGCTCCGGGGTTGTCCTGAGCTCTGAGCCATGGCTCCGGGGTTGTCCTGAGCTCTGAGCCATGGCTCCGGGGTTGTCCTGAGCTCTGAGCGTGGCTCCGGGATTGTTCTGGGCACTGAGCCGTGGCTCCAGGTGCTGAGCTGTGGCTCCAAGGATGCCCCATGCTGGTGGAGTCATCAGCAGCAGACCCCATCGGGTTTGTCCCCCGTCCATATTCCCCATCCTCACCCGAGTTACCTGCCTTCCCGTCAGCTGCAGTGTCTGCAAACAGACACTTTAATGCCTCATTTACACACCTGTTTTTTGCAGAATTCACCTTTCCCAAGCACCTTCCTCGACTGGCTCCTTCAAAGTAAGTTTAGTCGCAAGCACAGGGTGGGGGGGAGACGCTTGGCTCGGCTTTCTCTTGCTCATGCGTGTGCAAGCCAGAACGAGGAAGATGTGGCCGGCGGTGGGCTGGTACCAGGAGGGGGACATAGTCCTGGGGCAGGTAGCAGCTCCAAGCAGTGAGCGGGTCCCCGTAGCTGCCGGCTCCAGCCGGTGGGTCACGCCCCGT